GCCGGGGGGGGGGGGGGCCTCGGGGGGGGGGGGGGGGAAATGTCCTCATCTAGCAGGAAGCAGCCATGTGGTGCCTGCAGAAGCTGCTGGGGGCTCTTCCGCAGTGAGGTCTTAGCCCGAGGTGCCCCAAGGTGCTCAAAACAGCATCCGAAGCGGAAAGGCAGACTAACAGCAAGAGCACTTAGACTTACATACCGCTTCATCGTCCTTTTTACAGCCCTCTCTAAGCGGTTTTCTTGCCCCCCCAACAATCTGGGTTCTCATTTTACCCACCTCGGAAGGACGAAAGGCTGAGCTGGTGGGATTCAAACTGCCAAACTGCAGGCAGCAGAAGTAGCGCTTGCAGTGCTGCACTCTAACCACTGCGCCACCACGGCTCATTTATTTACGCCTAAGCAAAGGATAGGTTTCCCACAAGTAGAAGGTGGAAAGACCCTTAGGAAAAGCAGGGGGGGGACTCTTTATATACACCTTAAACATATTGGGCTTGGAATGTGTTTTTCAGTTGGTCAGTACCACTTCAATCTTCAAACACCCAGAACCTGTACATTGTACCATGCGTTATTCCATAACATTCTTTGCATCGCTTGTTAATAACTCATTCAACATTCAAGAGGTTTAACCACGAGGAGTTTTTGAGTTATTAAAGTTCACTTTTCTACACAATTCTCGGAGTTCTTTCCCATACCAACCATGTCTTCTTTCTCCAAAGAAGCCAGAAACGCCAAAGGCGGCTCCTTGTTGCCCAAAGGGGCCCCTTTTGCTCCCATCAGTGGGAGGCATGGCAGTTCTTGGGTGACACCCCTGGAAGAGGCTCTGCCCCCCCCCCCAGCTAGCTGCTCAGGTCCAGCCCCCCTCCAGCCTTGGCGCTTCTTCCGCTTGCTGGCCTCTGGGCCTTCTCCCTCTGGGCAGCTGGGCCTGGCTGCCTGGCCTCAAGCAGCAGGGGGGATGCTGCCAGGGTGCTCCCTCCCTCCCTCCCTCCCTGCAGGCCCTCGTCCTGTGGGAACGTGACTGCCGAGGTGTACCTGCGCGCCTTCCTCTCCCCCTGCATCAATGACTGCGGCCCCTACGGCCAGTGCAAGCTTCTGCGCTCCAACAACTACCTGTACGCGGCCTGCGAGTGCAAAGCAGGTGAGTGGGTAGCGGGTGGGCCTGCCCCCCCCCCGGATGCTGCCTGGAGGGAGGGGCTCTGTTCCCACCTGGCTCCAGGCTGCTGCTCTGCCGGCAACTGGCAGCCCCCACGGCCTGGTCACTTCTAGCTTTGGGGTAGCAGGGAGGCCCCCCCAGAGGGTCCCTGGGGACGGGCTTTGAAATACGGTGGGGGGAGCCCAGCCTGGCAGGGGCCGTCCCTGATGCCGGTCCTTGCCTGCAGGCTGGAGCGGCTGGGGCTGCACCGACAATGCGGCCGCCTTCTCCTACGGCTTCCAGCTGCTCTCCACCCTCCTCCTCTGCCTGAGCAACCTCATGTTCGTCCCACCAGTGGCCATCGCGGTGCGGACCGGCTACCTGCTGGAGGCAGCCGTCTACGTCTTCACCATGTTCTTCTCCACGGTGAGAGCTGCCAGGGATGGGCCCCCTCCCCAAGACAGAGACAGAGGGAGGGGAAGGGCAGGGAGCTGTGGGGGGGAGGCTCACCTGCAGTGTTCGGTGGGGGGGGGGGATGGGGAGGCAGGTTCAGACTGGCCCTGGTGCTGCCTGCTCTGATGTGCAAATTTCTCTAAGTTGGTTTCCTGCCCCGTGGCTTTAAGCCAGGGATTGGCCAGCCACTCAGCCTTCTGGGTGGAAGGAGGGAGGGGGGTCTCCCACCCCTTTTCTAGTTCCCAGTGACGCTTCTGGGTTGGATGAGGCCTGAAGAAGCCTTGTGGCCTTCTGGGCCAAAGACTCTTTAACTGGCAAAGCCTCCCCAGCAGCCACAATGGCCGGTCCAGCTGCCCAGCATGCTAGAAGAGTCGCCTCCATCTCCCCTCTGGTGCAACTGAGTCCTGGGAGGGGGGCTCCATCTTCCCCACCACCACCACCTGCCCCAAGACCTCCCTGAAGTCTCTGGGGGTCTGGCCTGGCAGGGGCCCCCAAAGGAAAGCCCAGCTGGCCAGGCTGCAGGGCAAGGGCTGCCCGGGTGGAGGCAAGCGTGACCCGTTCTGCCCCTGCCAGTTCTACCACGCGTGTGACCAGCCGGGCATCGTGGTTTTCTGCATCATGGACTACGACGTGCTGCAGTTCTGCGACTTCTTGGGCTCCCTCATGTCTGTCTGGGTCACCGTCATCGCCATGGCCTGCCTACAGCCCGTCATCAAACAGGTAGAGAGAAGGGGGAAGGGCTGCGGAAAGGAGCAGCTGGGAGCCCAGGCTCGTCTCCCTCACAGGGCTGTTGTGTGGGAAAGGGAGATCGCTGTGGATGCTGCCCTGGATCACATAGGGAAGGCTAGAAATTGCCATCATCTCAGCTTTGACCCCCCCCCTTCTCCCCCACTCCCCCCCCCTCCGTTCCAGAGTAAATGAACGCCCGGGCACACTCCCTCCCCCTGCGCTGCTGCTGTGCCAGTGGGGGGCATAGTCCTCTCATCAGGGTCAGAAAGGGGGAGAGGCTGTGGGGCAGGAGAGCCCCAGCAGCGTCCAGGAGGCTCGGGCCCTGCCGGGGGGGGGGGGGGGGGGGGCGGGGGGGGGGGCATGCCAGCCCGGCCGGGCCCCCCCGGGGGGGGGGGGGGGGGGGGGGGCTGCTGCTACCAGCCACCTGTGGGGCTCAGGGCTCCCCTGCCGGGCCGACTCTTCTGCTGCAGGGAGGGCTGGGGAGGCAGGCTGAGGGCCCTGAAGGGGGGGCTGTTTCTGACCCCCTGCGCTTCTCCCCTGAACAGGTGCTGTACCTGCTGGGAGCCATGCTGCTCTCCATGGCCCTGCAGCTGGACCGGCACGGCCTCTGGAACCTGCTGGGGCCCAGCCTCTTTGCCGTGGGCGTCATGGCCACTGCTTGGGTAAGGACCCCGGCCCCCCTCCCTGCCCCCGAGGCTCAGCTGCCCAGCCTCGCTGTGGGGCTTCCAGGTGGAAAGACTTTTGGACGCGCAGCAAGGGCCGTCCATGAACCGGAGAGCCCCTTCGAGAGGCAGCCTGGCTTTGGGGGAACAGCCGCCTCCTCGACTTGCAGAAAAGGGGGACCACGCCTGCTCCCCCAAGCTCTGCTGGCTCCATTTCCAGCAAACCTTGTGGCCAGGCCTCCTGTGGCAGGCAGCCCCAAGGGGATAACCGGGCAGGGGGGGTGGAGCTGCCCAGAACGGCTGAGAGGCACCAGCAGCCACTCCTCGGCTGGCTCCAACCTTCTTCCGCCTGCAGACGGTTCGCAGCATCCGGCGGCGGCATTGCTACCCGCCCACCTGGCAGCGCTGGACCTTCTGCCTCCTGCCTGGGGCCCTGATCGCCGCCTCGGCCGTGCTGCTCTACGCATTTGTGGAGACGGAGGAGAACTACTTCTACATCCACAGCATCTGGCACATGCTGATTGCCGGCAGCGTGGGCTTCTTGCTGCCACCCCAGCCCAAGGCAGAGGCGTCCGGGCTGGCAGGGCCCCTGCCTCGCCGGAAGGGCTGCGGCTACCAGCTGTGCATCAATGAGCAGGAGGAGCTGGGCCTGGTGGACCCCGGCACGGCTGGCCCTGGCGTCTCCATCACCAGCGTCTGCACCAGCTGATGCATGGTGGCGGCTTAGGGGACTTCAGACAGATGGGCAGCCTGGCCGAAAGCCCCCCCAGGCGTACCACTCTCGCTCTGGACTCTGTGCCAACTATGGACCCCTCCAGCCTTGGCCCAGGGACCTCTGGTGCCAAGGGAGGGGAGCCTGCCATGTTCCTTCCTGCCTGGCCACCCAGGGGCGATGCAGAAGAGGAGCCTTCCTCCCGCACCAGGCCCTTCCCTTGCGCCCCCTCCCCAATATGCACACACTGCACTGCAAGAGCCTTTCCAGGGGAGGGGAACAGCCCCCCATCCCTGCAAGCTCAAGGCCTTTGCACCCTCAGAGGGGCACAGCAGCAGCCGCTTCCAGCCTCAGAAGTCTGGGGAGGCCCGCCCGGTCTGGCTGGATCCCCACAGGAAGGCCAGGCGGCTGCTGGTGCCCCCCCACCGCCTGACCGTGCCTCCGTTCCAGTGGGCAGGGAAACCCATCATGCACCCAGCCAGAACGTCAGCGCCTCCTAGGTTTTTTTGGGGGGGGGGGCGGCGGGGGTCTCCTCAGCTGGCCAGTCTTTCTGGGCAGCGGCCTCCAAGTTCCAGGCCTGGCCGGGCCTTTCCGGCTGCAGCTGCAGGGGACAAAAGGGCCACGTCCGGCACTGCCCCCGCGGGCTCTCCATCCACCGGGAGAGCAGCCGGGAAAAGGCCCAGGAAGAGGCGCCGGGGAATGAGCAAACTCCCGTTCCGCCCGCTGTATCGCACTGGCATTAAAGGGAGACGCCCGTTCAGCCTGTTTCTGCTCGGGCTCCGCGCGCCGTTTGCAGCGACCCGCCGGCCGACGAGCTGGGGTGGGGGGACACCGCGCTTCCACCAGGGCGGCCGGCTGTGGCTGATGGGGCGGGCAGTTCTAGGCCGCCTCGCACCATGTGGGCGGCGGGGGGGGGGCACCGTTTCCAGCCCCAAATCCCGGGCAAGCGCGGGGGCGGCTCGGACTCCGTTCCCTTCGCTTTCCACGCAGCGCCGCTCGGGGCGCCAGGGAGGCCGCGGACCTTCCACGCGGGGCCGCCCCGGCAAGGCCTGCAGGTCCGCCTCGTCCCCCCCGCGGGGCTCCTGGCTCGCCCGCCCCCCCCCCTCCCTCCCGCAGCCATCATTCTCCCCGCCCTCCCCAAGCGCGACCGGGGAAGGGGGAGGGGCTTCCTTCCGGGATCCCGCCCATCCCGGCGGCCAATCAACCGCGGCGCCCGCCCTCCCGTTTCCCGACAGCCTTTGCAGGGAGGCAGAGCTCCCCCTCCCCGGAAGTGGCGCGCCCGCCGAGGCTCCGCCCAGGCTGAGGGGCGGGGCCTGCTTCCGGCGAGGCGGGCGGGGCGGCTGCTGGGGTCCGTCGTGCGGGGAGCGCCATGGCGGCCGCGCGGTGCCTGCTGCTGCTGCTGCTGCTGGCGGGACTGCTGGCGGGGGCCGAGGCGGGCGGCGGGCTCTACTCGCGGGAGGCCAACGAGGCCGCCACAGCCTCCGCCGCCGAGTTCCGCCTGGTGCGCCTGAACCAGCTGTGGGAGAAGGCGCAGCGCGTGAGTGGCGGGCGGGGGGCGGCCGGGGGACGCGGGCGAGGCGGGGCGGCGGGACTGACGGGGCGGCCGCCTCTCTCCCTCCCTCCGGGCACAGGTGGGGCTCCCGGCGGTGCGCCTGGCCGAGCTGCACAGCGACCTGCGGCTGCAGGAGAAGGACGAGCTGAGCTGGAAGAAGCTGAAGGCGGCCGGGCTGGACGAGGACGGGGAGCGGGAGGCCCGCCTGAGGCGCCGCCTGGAGGGTGAGAGGGGAGCCGGGACCCCCCACCCCCCCTTCGCCCGGGGTGCCCTTGGCAGAGAGGCCGGCTCCGTTCCTCCTCGCAGCCCACCGCCACCCCCACCCTCGACGCCGGCTCCTGCGCGGGGGCTCCTCCCTGCCTGCCTGCCTGCCTCCCCTTAACCCGAGGCCGCCGGTTCCTCCATCCCCCCGCCCCCCCCGCGAAGGCCTCGTGGTTGCCTGTTAACTGCGCGAATGCGCTGAGCTGCCCCTGAAAGGCGGGCTGGTCTTGGGCTCCCCGGTCCCGCTGCCCGAATCTTCTCCCTGTGGTCCCTAAAGGTCCCCGGCTGCCCCGGCTTCTCCAGCTGGCCAAGACCCTCCGGAGCCTGAAAGCCCCCCCCCCCCCCCGGGTTCCAAGGGCCGCCCCCCCCCCCCCGAACCGGTGGATCATTAACTGATGTCCGAGCAGTTCAGAGATTAGAAGCGACCCTTGGCTCCCGTGGCCGGCAAAGGCTCCATGGAAGTCGGGTGTATTGTGGCAGAGCCGAGCCAGAGCTGAGGATCGCAGGCCAAACTCCAATCCAGCTGGACCTTTATGGTCAGGGCACAACCTGTGGACCGTGAGATCGGCTGAGCCTCCCTTAGGGCCCCCCCTCAACGCCAATACATATCAGTGACTCTCCGTGAAAGAAAGAAAACCCCACACCCTACAAATCGTGCTAAGAACACACGGTCCTCGATACGTCTCTGTGCCTAACATTACATTATAATATATTGCACCAATATGAACATGTTGCACCGGCCCTGCAAGTCCATCACGCTACATACTTATGGATGTTATCCACGGATAAAAGCTGTTCTTCAACCTGTTGGTGCGGCTGGCTGTGCTTCTAGATCTCCTACCCGATGGTGGGAGAGGGAAGAAGGGCTGACTGAGGTGTGAGCTGCCCCTGACTCCTTCGGGTTCAAACCCCCGTGTCTGATCCAGGTCAAGCAGGGTGTTTTTGGAACGGGTCGCTTCAGGTGTAGGTCGGTAGGCAGCTGCCGCCTTCTCTCCGCTGGCTAACCTTGTAGAAGCCTGTGGGGAAGACGCAGCAGGGGCTTTCGCTCCCCCACCCCACCCCTCCAGCGCCCTCCCTCCCTCCCACCCCTGAGTCCATGGCAGACTGTCTCCCATGGTAGCAAGGCACAAGCAAGGCTGAGGTAGCAGCAGTTAATACCTGACTAAAATAGGTCAAATGGCCCCGGATGTGCGCTTGCTTTGTCCAGAATATGTTGCTTCGCTGAATCCGATTGAAGGTCAGTCCACTCTGTGGTTCGGGGGGGGTGTGTGTGTGTGGAATTTCCCAAAGGGCAGAAAGGGCCGGATCCTCCTGACACCCCAAGAGAGTCCGGTGGCTGCTCACTCCCAGTTTCGCAAAACCGTGAAAATAAGTGCTGGTGACCTGGGCCCAAATCGCTGCCTGTTTCTCCTTCGGTTTCCCTCCAGTGACTATGACTAAATACGGCTTGAGTGGGAAGAAGGAGGGGCAGCAGTGGGAGACCAACCACATCCAGGAGGGCTTCGGGCAGGATGGCCTTGGGGACCCCCGGCTGGAGAAACTCTGGAACAAGGTCGGTTTGGAGCCCCCAGAGTGTGTGTGTGTGTGGGGGGGCTTATTGGAGGGCTTCTGGTTTTCATTGGTTCAGAGTTTTCTTTCCCGTTTCCCTCCAAGTTGGCATGTTAAAAGGGCTTGAGGGGACACGATGCCCAGTTGCGTTGCAGGGAGAAGGAAGATCCTTGGCACTCTATAACCTGGTTGGGAGGGATAAGAAGCCCCCCTTTGGTTCAGGGGCTTCAGGTACTACAAGGATGCCCCCCAGAGCCCCCTTTGGCAGAGACTGGCTGCCTCTTCCCAGTCCTGGTGGCGCCTGCCATTCCCATCCTGCAAGCAGGGACCCTCCGGTCACAGGGCCGCTGGGAACCGATCTGGCCTCCTCCTCCTCCTCCTCCTCCTCCTCCTCCGCTCTGGGAGGCCCTGCTGGGCTGCCTCCTGCTGGGCCCGGAAGAATTGCCTTCCTCTCGGTGGGGGGGGGGGGGGGGGAGGGGGGCCCCGAAGCAGAATCTCTTTCCGGAGAATAGGATATCAGGAAGGTTAGCTAATGAATCAAATCTAAAGGGCTGCTCGCAATCACCAGGGGTAATTTGGGCAGCATGCAATAATCCAATAGAGTCATGCGTGTATGAAAACCATATAAATATGTAAGAGCGCTATTAACAATTGAATATTGAAGTATTAATGTTAACATTTAATATCAACTACAGCTAAATTATTAAATGCTTCCCGTTAGATTCCCCCGGAAAATGTATCTTCAGTATCCCGTTGCAAAGTTTTCGGAAGCGACTCTTCCACTGAGGCCATTTTTTGGCAGAGAGGAGTAACCCTCCTGCTTTCTCTCTCTTCAAGGCCAAAAGCTCCGGGAAGTTCTCGGAGGAGGAGCTGGAGAGGTTGTGGAGGGAATTCCAGCACCACAAAGAGAAAGTCCACGAATACAACATTCTGCTGGAGACCGTGAGCCGGACGGAAGGTAGGGAGGGAGATGAGCCCCCAGGGAGTCGGAGGGGGGGCGGGCAGCGAGGCAGGCAGAGTCTCGCCTTAGGGCGCCCGGCTGGCTCAGGTGGACTGGTCAGGTGGTCTGTCATTGAGTGAAGCAGTCTCTAAGCAGGAAGCCAGTGCCCGGGGCTGCTTCCCAGTCTTTCCCTTTGGCTTTGAAGAAGGCCCGGCATGAGGGCAGGTGCCCAAGGGAGCCCCTGATCTCCTCCTGTGCCCACCGTCTTGGCTGGAGTTTTCAGGGCCCCTGCAGGGCCTTTCTCTGGGGAGCCGCTGGGCGCTGCTTCCTCCCGTTTGGTTCTGAACAAGAGATCCCCCCCCCCGGTTTCCTGCTCTGCCTTGGTGATTGTTCATCCAGGAGGGCTTAGTGAGGCCCCACCTGTGCTGCGAGATCGGGGCCCTGGGTGGGCCTGCAGTGGGTGCCAACTCCTCTCCTTGCAGATGTCCACAAAAACACGATCGACCGCCCGGCGGAGGAAGAGAGCGCAGCCAGGAAGGAGCTGCTGCATCGCAAGCACTCGGAGCTCCAGGAGCAGCTGCACAGCATCAAGCAGGGCTTCGAGCGCCTGCGCAAAGTCAGCCACCAGGGCTACGATTCCGCCAGTGGTAGGCGCTCCCTCCCCCCTCCCCAGGGGCCCCCAGGCCCTGGGAGGGGGGAGGCAGCCAAGGGTCTCCCCCCTCTTAATTGGCATAAAGTCCAAATGTGGGACTCGCGGCCTGGAGGCAGGTCTGCAGCTGCCCTGAGGCTGTCCGGAGGGGTCAGGAAGGGCCCTGGGACTCACTCCAGGCTGGCCTTGGGACAGGAGCCCCAGCCCAGCTGAGTGTCCTTGGGAGGAAAGGCCAGGGGGTCTCAGCCCTTCTTCCAGGCCGCTTCCAACTGCCGGTGCCCAGGGGCCCCGTGCTTTTTCTCTGCCTTTTTGCACAGAAGGCGCTTAGTGTTTTTTGGCCGCCTCTACCAAGTCCCGCTGCAAAGGCGTCTTGTGGAAGTCCTTCCCAGACACAGAGATCCCAGCAGAGCCCTGGAAATGCGCCTGTCTTTTCCTCCTCCAGACTTCGAAGAGCCCCGTGTGATTGACTTGTGGGAGTTGGCTCAGTCCACCAACTTCACCGCGCAGGAGCTTGACTCCCTCCGGGTAGGCAGCCTGGGCGCCTCCGTTACCCCGTTTGCTCCTGCCCTCTGCCCTTGGGAGAGGAGAGGGCGGCTCTCTCGCAGGCCTGGGCAGCTGGTGGCGGCCCCTTCACTCTTCCCAGGGGTCCTGAAAGCCCCCGCGGACCTGTGGCTGACCCATAGAACGGAGAGGGGCCATTGAATCCGGCCACCTGGTCAGCGCAGAGTCCCACTGGCGGTGTCCCCCACAGCTGGATGTCCAGTCCGTGCCCTTGTCTGGTGAAAGTTCTAGGACTTGTAACTTTGCACACTTGGGGTGGTCTCAGCTGACTGTCCAGTGTATTGTCTCTGGCCTGGTCAGGGGGTCTTCTGTAACCAGAGCGACTGCCCCCCCCCCCCCCCGCACTCCTTGAAGGGGCTTCCGCCTGTTTGCAGCTGAGGCGGTTTGTGCGGTTGTGCTGCTGTGCATGCAGGAGGTGGCAAGCGCTGGTGTGGCTTAGAGCGGCTGGGGGGGGGGGTTGGGTGGCTGCGTGACGAGCGACCAGGGCGCCTTTTGTGCTCCAGGAGGAGCTGAGGCATTTTGAGGCCAAAGTGGAGAAGCATCACCACTATCAGAAGCAGCTGGAGATCTCCCACCAGAAGCTGAAGCACGTGGAAGGAACGGGGGACAAGGAGCATCTCGGCCGCAACAAGGAGAAATACGCCGTGCTGGAAGAGAAGACGAAGGAGCTGGGCTACAAGGTGGGCTGCAGGGAGCCCCCTGCTCTGAGAGCCTCCTGCTCCTCCTGGGAGGGGCGGAGAAGCTGCTGCTTCCTCACCCGTCCGACCTCCAGCCTCAGAAAAAAAAATCCCCGACCAGGAAATCATTGCAGCAGAACCCTTGAAATGTATGGAGAGGGGGGAGAGCAGCCAAGCCCTGGGAAGCCCTTTCCCTCCCCTGCCACGCTGCCCTAAGCTTCGACCCTGACCCGGAACAAGAGAGGAACCCTGCAGTGGCCCTTGGGCGAGGGGCCCCCGGGTCAGACCAGAAGCCTTCCTGTGGGGCGGTCCACAGGTCCTGCCCTGCGGGGGTGTACCTTTCCTCTGACCACCTGCGGGGACCTTGAGGGCAGAGAAGTCGGGATTACGTGCGAACACAGAGGACCCACCGCAGCAGAACAGGCAGAGCAGCTCAGCCGGGTCCTTTTGGAGTTGGCCCTGGGCTGAGCCTGACAGAGGCTCCTTCAGGGGACAAACCCACCTCCTGCCGTGAAGAGAGACGGTCAAATATGGCCATTCGGAGAGGATAAATGCACCTGGGGTTGTTTTTTGGCGGGGGGGGGGGGGGGCTTGGCAAAAGCCCAGCTACTTTTCCCTCAGCCAAAGGGAGCTGTTGAGACAATGGGCTGCCTCCCACCGGGGCTTCAGCAGCCGGGAACCCCTGTGGCTCCTCAGCCAGCCTTTCGGCATCGCTTGCTGGGTCTCCCCTGGTAGGAAGGCCGGGGGGAGGGAAGGCCGCCTGCCCCCCGCCCCGCCCGCCCGCCTGCCTGCCTGCCTGCCTGCAGAGCACCGGTTGGAGCAGAGGGGTGGCTTCCAAGGAGGCTGGAAAGGAGGCTGCTCCGGGTAGCTCCAAACCGAGTCTTGGGCCGGGTGGGGGATTCCCAGTCAGGCTGGCAGCCAGCGGTGCCCTCTGCTCCTTCCCGGGGCCATTGCTGCCTCTCTCTCTCTCGCATGCCAACCCTGCCCTGGTGCTCGGGGCGTAGGAGGCAAGAGGTGCCCAGTGCAGAAATGAGACAAGAAGGGTTTTCCTTTAGGAGGTAAAAACCGAGGGCGGGCTTTAAGGAAAGTAATCTTACAATTTCTTTTTTCCTCATTTTTACATTTGTATCCTGTAGTTTTAAAATCCTGCGGGGGAAATGTTACATGTTTTTTTTTAAATGAAATGGCAGAGTTGTTTGGAAGATGTAAACTGAATAAATTAAGTTAAATTATAACTGAAATGTCTAGTATCTATTTAGGATGAATAAACCCTGTTTTGTCCTCCCAGGTCAAGAAACACTTGCAAGATTTGTCCAGCAGAATTTCCAGAGGCCTCCAGCACAACGAACTCTGACGCTTCACCTGCTCAGCCTTCAGTCCGGAAATGCAGACATTGCCTGGCCTTCGGCCGCAGATCTTCACCGGGGTTGCTTTGGGTTTTTCTCCCTGATGAAGTCGAAGTCCCGATCCCACCCGGGTGCTGCTGCTTCATGGCGGCGAACATAAAATCCTGCTGGAGACAAAGGTCCCCTGGCGGTTGATGGGAAGGGCACATGTGGCAGGCCCAGTGGTTTTGTTCCAGGGCGCACCCCCCCACACACACACACACCCCGTACGAACACAGATGCGAACCCCGTTAGGAAGTCCCTGCTGTGCTCCCGTGCGCCCTGCCTGCCTAAGCCAGAAGCCTCTGCCCATGTTTTTGGCTCACGCCTGTTGCTCTAAGGCCGAAAGGGGAAGTGGCCGCCTCTGCTGGCTGCTGAGCAGAAGGGTGGAGTCTCTGGGGCAGCCCCACCGGTCACCTGCTCCATCAATTTGGGAGGGGGCTGTAAGCAGGAAGGACGCCGTGCTGGGGGGGGGATGCCTGGAATTGACCGCGGGCTTTTCAGGATTTGAATAGCATCGCCACGATTTCTGCCGACTTGTGGTGGAGGGTCTAACGGCAAGTTCGGAAGGGGAAACGCTCGTGATTGTTGCATAAACGCACTCCTGCCACACCCTTTGCTGTGCTCTGTGTTGATTCTGACATTGGGAGGCTGGGGTGGAAGTGGGGGAGAAGGTTGGGCACGTGGGGTGGGGGAAGGTACGTTGCCTGCCCGTCTCGTGTCACGCCGGGGGTGGGGGGGGGGGGGGGGGGGGGGGCAAGAGGCTATTCTCAAGTGATTCCTTCCAGCTGACTCCTAAAAGGTCACCTGGTCATCTAGACGTTTGTGGTCTGGGCACGCTCGTGGACCTGCAGATCTGCAGAGTGGCTGGGAGAAGGAGCGGATCCTGGCCTCAGCAGGAAGGAAGAGGAAGGGGGGCTGGGAAGGGGCCAGACTGGCTGTTCCGACCGAAGGGCTGCCCCTTGGTCAGCTAGAGGGGGTCAGGAAGGGGCTGCAGGGCTGGCCTGGTCTTCCTTAGCGGCGTTAGCCAGGGGTCACCGAGGGGGCTGCCTGGCTCTGTGAAAGGAAAATTTTGGGGGTGATGTTGGATGCCGGCAGGCCATGGGGGAGGCTCCTTGTTCCTTCCGCGGGCGGGAATCGAGTTGCCGACCTAAGCAGGGTGGGCAGGTCCAGCGTCCTACCACGTGAGCCCCTGCAGCCCCCACTGCGGCTGGGGAGCCTCAGGCCGGTCCTGCCATATCAGGATCTGTTTTTAAACCCCTTCCTTCTGAGTGGTTTCATTTTTTATTTCTGACAGAATCTCCCTAAGTTTCTGGGTTGCCTCCTGTGATCTTAAACTTTCCTTGTTCTCCTTTCCTGGAATCTCCTTTCCTGGAATCTGTACACAACTCGACAAACATTGCGCAATCTTTATGTTTGGCAACAAATCTCCTTTATGCGCATTGTTGTTTCTTGGCAGCCTCTTCCTCGTCTCGCTTCTTCCTCCTGTGCTTCCCTCCCCCTGGGGCTGCCGTAACTTCCCTCTTTTCCCAGCAGCTTCTGCCCCCTCCGCCTCCTCTCCATCTTCCGCCTGCCTGCCCGTTTTTTCAGGCAGGATCCACCCCGTGTCTTCCTGCAGGCACTGCCGCCTCCTCAGCTTTTCCCCTTCCTTCCACGTCCAGCATCTCCAGGACCCAAAACCTTTGGCACGGCCCAACAATGGTCCATTCCGGGGTCAGCATCTCAAGCACAAAGGCAGCCGTGCTGTCTGGTTCCTTTCCTTCCCCAGGTGTGCATAGGAGCGGACTTCCTTGCAGCACACAGGCCCAAAGCGGCCATTTCTCCTGCAGAAGCAATGGCTCCCCTCCCTCCCATCAACTCAGGAGGGATCTTCCCCAGGTGGCACTTCCCCCCCCCTCAGGATGGACACCCTCCTGGTTCTTCAGCTATCACCCACCTTTCTGCCCCCCCCCATCCTCCACTGATGACTCCCGAGGGCACGAAGCCGCTCCCTCCTGCCGCCGCCAGCCAGCCAGCCACTTCTCTGGGCTCCCATCACTTGACCAGAATCCCACAGGGTCCCCGCTTGAATAGAACAGGGGGTCAGACTAAAACAACGGTCCCCAACCTTTCCACCTTGCCGGCCTGGCATGTGTGTGTGAGTGGCAGGTGCACACATGCATGCACAGCTCATTGGTGCAGGCTGTGGGCACACTTGCCCTCCACTGGTGTGAACGGAGCTTTGCGTGTGAGCGTGGGGTGATCCCGCACAAAGCTCCATTCGCACAAAAGCAGCTTTGCATGGGAGTGCCCTCTGCTTGGGCGCGCGGAGCTTTGCACGCACCTGGGCCATCACACGGCCAGGTTTGAAACAGACTTGGGGACCCCTGGACTAGAAGCACTGCAAGGTCCCTTCCAATTCTGTTACTCCGATTTTCATGGGCATTCATAACAATGTAGGTCAGCCTCCCTCTCGCTGAAGCTCCATGAGGGTCTGTGATAGGAACAAAACATGGTGGTTTGAACTTTTATGTGCCCTGCCGTGCAAGCAGTGTGTCAGGGTTCCAAGTAATAAATCCATTGCAAGCAAGACTCCAAGGCAATTGAATTCCTCAAATTACTTGTCTTGGAAATATATTGGCACGTATCTGGCAAAAACCAACTCTGAAAACTCCCACGGTTTTCACCATGTTAAAAGTAAAAGATTTCCCCCTTTCTCAGAACAGTCCCAGGGTCCAATCGCCGTGCTGTCTGACCCCCGGGTGGCATCACTCCGCCTCCTTCAGACCAGGTGTGACCATGTCCTTGGTTCCCAAGATAAAGTATTTTGTTTTGGCTACAAAAATCCCTCTCTCAAATCCTCCCTCCCTGACCCTCCCCTCCAGGGTGGCAACACTGGAGTGGCCAAGATGGCACCGGTCAGGCCAGCTTCGGAGTTGACCCAGTGGTGGCAGGTTTCACATGCTGTGTGTTGGCTGTTGGGGTTGCCTGAGACCTGGGAATTATTCCCATGGCTCTCAAAGGCTGAGAAAGGCTGGCCTGGTGAATTCATGCTTCTTAACCCTTCCAGAATCAAACTGCTCCTTCGTTTCACAGAGAGCAAGAGGAGAGCGAGCGAGAGTGCCAAGCTCTCCATTTTGCTCCTCACCTTACTGGTTTTGCTCTGCCTAGTCACAGTTGGTAAGTTTGGCACTGAGGGGGGGGGGAGGCAAGCCTGGGCCCTGAGCCTGTGCGAAGGGCAGGAAGGGCAGCTCCAGCTCCTAGAGTGCCAGAGCGTGATGGTCCCTTCCTTGGTAGACTGCTCCTGCAAGGAAGGCTCTTCTGCACTGGCCTGGCCTTCCTGTACATGTGGGGGGCCAGCATGGAAGGTGGGAAGGTCTTTGTGCCCTGAACACAGCTCAGTGGGAGGACAGGGGAGCTGGAGGTAGAGGTTGTGGAGGGGGGGGGGATTCTGCCAATGCCACCCTGCTTGCAACGAAGGACTGGCCTGAGGCAGCCCCCCCCCCACCTCGTCCATTCTCTCCCTGCTCACTTGTTCACTGGGCAGCAGCCAATCCTGGTGCTGAGCTTGGGGGTTTCCACAGGGCGTCCTCAGGCAGGATGACGGTCTCTGTTACTGTAACCACAGCAACCAACCCATCTCCATGGCAACCCAGCATCTTGCTCTGCAGCTGTGCAGCTTGCAGAGCGACTGCTCTTTGGCACCACATACACAGCAGCCCTGCGAGCTGGGTGGCCAAAACTAGAGGCTGGCTGCCACCTGGCACATCTGGAGGGATTTTCGTGAGCGGAACTTGGTTGTCCTGGCCAGCGATTCCATTGCAGCACTGTTTGTACTTGCAGAGCTGCTCCAGGGATGTAACAGTAACAGTAATAGAGATGGGAGGGACCTTAGAGATCACCTAGTCCAACCCCTTGCTCTCGTAGGAGACCTATACTACTTCTGATAGATAGCTGTCCAGTTTCTTCTTAAAAGCCTTCAGTGTTGGAGCAACCATGTTGAGGTAATTCCCCGTTAGGAGAATGAGTGCACACAGGGAGACATAGTGAGAGTGGCGAGGAATAACACACAACCAGCACACAGATACACTGTATAGTAAAATGTAGGTTTTTACTTCCAGTAAACAGTTAAGCAAAGTCCGAACACAGTCCAAGTCATACACAGTTATAGCAGTCAGTTTTCAGTCCAGGGATAATCCAAAAACAAAGTCCAGTATCACAAACAGTTCAGTAACAGACTTACATCAAATCCAAGAAGAACTATGATCAGCAACAGTCAATAGGGAAATGCAGGAATGGCAACACTCTCAACAACAGAACAGAACAACCCAGGTTTCTGGCTCCATCTTATGGCCCTTTGAGGAACCACACCCAATTACAATTTTAGCATTCCCTTAAAGAGACAGTATTAAAATGTCTATCCTGGTTTATATATTTTCCAACCCGAAAGTTAAGTGACATTCCTAACCACCCACAATTTCCGATGGCCATTTGGCTAATTGTTCTCACTGTCAGGACGTTGCTCCTTGGTTCTAGGTTGCTTCTCTCCTTGATTACTTTCCATCCATTGCTTCCTGTCCTGCCTTCTGGAGCTTTGGAAACTAAGATGCCCCCTCTTCCTTGTAGCAGCCTTTCAAGTATTGGAAGACTCGGACCTCACCAGGAAGCCATGGGCACCCCCGTTTGAAAGGGACTGTAACAAATGGAAGCATCTTCAGAGAAGGAACAGTAGCAAGAGGGTGAAGGTGTTAGATTCTTTTAGTAAAAGATGCTTCCTGTGCTAAAAGAATACAAAAACGGTTCCCCTCAACCCAGCCCTCCCCCCTCCCATGACCAGGTGGTCTTCAGCCAATGAAGAGTCGCCCAGGTGTTTTGAGAACTCCGAGGTGTTTAGGGTAGTCCACATACTTTCTCAGGGGGCCTGGCCTTGAATCCTGGTACACACTGGTTCCAAGCTCCTCTGGTCTTCATCAAGCTGTCACTTCCCCGGAGAGAGGGCGGAGCTGGCGTCGCGACGATACAGCATGCGATCTCGAAGGTCTGAGATCGCAGCCGATATCTTTGCCCCTGGACGGTCCAAACGGATCTAAACCGTCCTGAAAAGATGGCGAAAGTGAAGAGCGCATCCTGTTGATCCCAGGGATACTGCAAAGTCCCTGGTAGATCCAGTAGAAGCTCTTCTTGCCAGCGGCAAAGAGGCAGCCATTAAAGCTGCTGAAGTTGGGACAGCTCCGAAATGGAAGAGAGCAGAAAGAGAAAGTGTGCTGGTTTGGTGAGAACTTTTTTATTCTAAGACTTGAAAGGACACTCTAAGGAAAAGAAAGAATCTGTAAAAGTTTTGACAGAAGTGATTAAGCGGCGATTTTAAACAGAAATGTCAAAGTAAGGTTTGCTTTTTTTCCCCTCATTGCTGGATTTCTATACGCGATTTTGTACTTTGGAACTGGACTGGTTCTTTTCTTATTTATACCTATCTTTTCTTCTCCTTTTTGATTTTGTAATATTTTAGGCTAGAGGCTCCCTTTAGTTA